GTCTTAAGTCTGCCTGGAGGGGACGACCAAGGGTTATCGCAATAGCATGTAGGCTTATATCCTGCCCCATAGACCTTTACAGCACTCTCTGGGGGTTTACAATATCAGCCATATTTGCATCTTGACCCCCCAACAATCTGGGCCCTCATTTTACCGACTTCGGAAGGATGGAAGGCTGAGTCAGCCTTGAGCCGGTCAGGATCGAACTGCCGGCAGTGGGCAGAGTTAGCCTGCAGTAATGCATTCTAACCACTGTGCCACCACGACACCCCTTCTTCTTCTTCTTCTTCTTCTTCTTCTTCTTCTTCTTCTTCTTCTTCTTCTTCTTCTTCTTCTTCTTCTCCTTCTCCTTCTCCTTCTCCTTCTCCTCCTCCTCCTCCTCCTCCTCCTCCTCCTCTTCTTCTTCTTCTTCTTCTTCTTCTTCTTCTTCTTCTTCTTCTTCTTCTTCTTCTTCTTCTTCTTCTTCTTCTTCTTCTTCTTCTTCTTCTTCTTCTTCTTCTTCTTCTTCTCCTCCTTCTCCTTCTCCTTCTCCTTCTCCTTCTCCTTCTCCTCCTCCTCCTCCTCCTCCATAACGCACAATTCCAAGTAGGTGTTTCTTGATGTCACAGAAGCTTTTATTTCCCTCCCAACCATAATGTAGAATAGATCAATGCAATTACTCCATGAAGACATAGCACAGAAAGGAAGGGAGAGGCTATCCTGAACACCAGCCAGGGACGTGGCCTTTTATAGGTTAGAAATCAACTTCTTTTTAAAAAGAATTGGCGCTTGGTTCAATTACAGCAGAAGTCTCTGGCTTGGTTTTCCTTCCCTTTGTTGCATAATTGCCTCCCCCTTTAAAAAATTAATATCTTCTTTGCTTTTACTTCTTTGGAGGCAGTTTATTGCCGCGCTGGAGGTTAACCGTATTAAACATTTCCTAATGACATTTCAGCACAGCAGAAATGGGGTGTTGTCACTTATTGCTATGGTGTTGTTGTTTTTTCCCCTTCCGAGAGACCAGGCAAAAAACAAAGGCAATCAAATATGCATTAGCTCAAAACTCTGGAGAAAGCATCCAATACAGGAAAAGGAAAGCGCAGGGCCCCAAAACTGTGTGGAGAGTGGCTTTGTTCCTGTTCTGGCAAAACAGAGAACTGACGAAAGCATCCAAAATGCAAACCAAAAAGTCAAGGCAGCCTGGACTGTTCCCAGCTCTTAAGCTTCTGTTTCCTTCTCAACCAAGAAGCTTCTTCAGGTCTGAACTTCAGAACTGAAGAAGCTCCTTGGGTGAGAATCGAAATGTTTTCAAAAAAAAATAGCAGAAGAAATCCAGTTTGCCTTTTGGGGAAAAAAAAAAGCCACCATAAGTCAACTGACTCACAAAGCTTTGAAAATTTTGAAGACGAAGATGGGAACATGGGTTTGGCTAGTCTAAAGAAAAGAAGGAACAGGGGAGACAGGATATCAGCGTTCCAGTATCTGAGGGGCTGCCACAAGGCAGAGGGGGTCACGTTATTCAACAAAGCACCAGAGGGCAGGACGAGAAACAATGGTTGGAAACTGATCAAGGAGAGAAGCAACCTGGAATTAAGGAGAAACTTCCTGACAGTGAGGACCATCAACCAGTGGAACAGCTTGCCACCAGAAATTGTGGGTGCTCCATCACTGGAGGTTTTTAAGAAGAGACTGGATAGTCACTTGTCTGAGATGGTATGGGTTCTCCTGCTTGAGCAGGGGGCTGGACTAGAAGACCTCCAAGGTCCCTTCCAGATTCTATTCTATTCTATTCTATTCTATTCTATTCTATTCTATTCTGTTCCTGTATTTTATTACTCTACTCTACTCTACTCTACTCTACTCTACTCTATTCTATTCCTGTATTTTATTATTCTACTCTACTCTACTCTACTCTACTCTACTCTACTCTACTCTACTCTACTCTACTCTACTCTACTTCTATTCTATTCTATTCTATTGTATTCTATTCTATTCTATTCTATTCTAAGTAGAATCACTTTCAAGGCCCTTGTGTGGATATGGGAATGGCTGATACTCGAGTACTTTAAAATTAAAATTGGGGGATACAAGATGTGGCACAAATAGCAAGGAAATTGGAGGGCTATAATAACACTCACCCACGCTGCCCTGCCCATGTGAGCCTTATCAGAAACATGGAAATAAGATCACGGTGTGAGATCAGACCTCCATAGATCTTAAAATGCTGCATTTAAAAAAAAAACATATCTAAACAACACAATCTCTTTTGATGTCTAAATTTAAGCATATTAAAACCTGCAGGGTACTTATAAGTCTCTAACTGCCTTGAGTTTTGTACTGTGGATTCTCTGTGTAGGTGCAGGAGAACATGAAGAGAGAGAGAGAGGGGTGGGGGGACAAAAAGGGAATAAAAGCCCTTTCCTGAGTAACTTAATTCCCTGGAGGTGATCTTGGCAGCTCCATATAAATAAAGCAGACAATGATTGGTCTACTCCTGGCTTATTCATAGCTAGCTTGATTTTCAAGACAAAAAAAATTCAGGAGAAATAATAAGGTGCCATGTTCTTTCGAAGTATTGAGATCGCTACTTGAATTTGCAGCTTGCACTGAAGATTTAATTCACAGGGTAGTTAAAATCATTGTGATGTTCATCCTTTCCTATTAGGGGAAACAAGTCACTGGCATTTGGCACACTCGGAACAAAGATACGGTAGGCTCACTTCAAACTGTATGAAGGAACACAGAGTATAGAATAAAAGAGTTGGAAGAGACCTTGGAGGTCTTCTAGTCTAACCCCCTTCTCAAACAGGAGACCCTGCACACCATCTCGGACAAATAAGGCTTGTCGAGTTTTCAATTCTCCCATACCAGATCTTCTGAAGAAAAAAAAAGAAATGTCTACAACTACAGATAAGCTATGTGACTCTCCTAAAGCCCTCAGGATCAGACCACCTCAAAAGAAAAAAGATTGTTTTTTTAAAAAAAGGGGCTTTTCACTCACGTTGCTCTGTTTCCATATCAAAGCAAGATGTCCTTCATTTTAACAATAGTTTAATTAGAATAGAATAGAATAGAATAGAATAGAATAGAATAGAATAGAATAGAATAGAATAGAATAGAATAGAATAGAGTTGGAAGGGACCTTGGAGGTCTTCTAGTCCAACCCCCTGTTCAGACAGGAGACCTTGTACCATTTCAGACAAATGGCTGTCCAGTCTCTTCTTAAAAACTTCCAGTGTTGGAGTATTCACAATTTCTGGAGGCAAGTTGTTCCACTGATTAATTGTTGTATCAGGAAATTCCTCCTTATTTCTAGGTTACTTCTGTCCTTGATGAGTTTCCATCCGTTGCTTCTTGTCCTGCCTTCAGGTGCTTTGGAGAATAGCTTGACTCCCTCTTCTTTGTGGCAACCCCTGAGATAATGGAAGACTGCTACCATATCACCCCAAGTCCTTCTCTTCATTAAACCTAGGCATACCCAGTTCCAGCAACCGTTCTTTATATGCAGATATATATCCTTGCTGCAGATGTTCTAGAAACGAATAAGGAACCAAGAAATTTCAAACACAGCATGCCTCTTCTTTTGCATATCACATCAACACCAGGGACACCATACGCCAACAACAACAACAACAAAAATAATCCATTCAGATCGGAGTATACTATCCCAAATTCATGGTTGATTCCTGACCCCTGTTCGCACATCACACTAAGCCGCAAATAAACCACTCGCATTTATTACTCAGCCCAGCATGCAGTCAGCAATCTAGAATACAGGATTTGATCTTCCTTGCTGTTTTAAATGCAACTACAAAATTCCAATTCCTCTTAAGTTTGAAGATCAAAAACTGGCTAGGAAAACAGGTTGAAATGACATTGAAAGAAACTGTATTTTTTTTCCTCGTGTAGTTTTGAAAAGCAAGCAGTGGACGGAAACTTATAAAGCGAGCAATCCTTCCATTTTTGCCAAGTAATAAGTGTTATAGAAGAAGAAGAAGAAGAAGAAGAAGAAGAAGAAGAAGAAGAAGAAGAAGAAGAAGAAGAAGAAGAAGAAGAAGAAGAAGAAGAAGAAGAGGAAGAGGAAGAGGAAGAAGAAGAAGAAGAAGAAGAAGAAGAAGAAGAAGAAGAAGAAGAAGAAGAAGAAGAAGAAGAAGAAGAAGAAGAAGAAGAAGAAGAAGAAGAAGAAGAAGAAGAAGAAGAAGAAAAAGAAGAAGAAGAAGAAGAAGAAGAAGAAGAAGAAGAAGAAGAAGAAGAAGAAGAAGAAGAAGAAGAAGAAGAAGAAGAAGAAGAAGAAGAAGAAGAAGAAGAAGAAGAAGAAGAAGAAGAAGAAGAAGAAGAAGAAGAAGAAGAAGAAGAAGAAGAAGAAGAAGAAGAAGAAGAAATCCATGCCTTTTCTTTACCACTGTGATTATTATTTTTCCTCCTGCAGATTTTGATCTCGCTTACTATGCTGTTCTCTGCAGACAGACCATATGCTTAATTGGTTTGCAGGCTACTCAAAGAATGATGCTTATAGGGGGAGGTCCCCCAGTACAACCAATTATTGATTGCCTAACTCAGAAAATGGGGCCTCCAATGTCCATTTCTATTCTATTCTATTCTATTCTATTCTATTCTATTCTATTCTATTCTATTCTATTCTATTCTATTCTATTCTATTCTAGTCTCTAGTCTCTATTCTCTATTCTCTATTCTCTATCCTCTATCCTCTATCCTCTATCCTCTATCCTCTATTCTATTCTATTCTATTCTATTCTATTCTATTGTATTCTATTCTATTCTATTCTATTCTATTCTATTCTATTCTATTCCATTCCATTCCATTCCATTCTATTCTATTCCATTCCACTCCTTATTCCATTCCACTCTTCATTCCATTCCATTCTATCCCAATCAGAGCTTCCAGATGCTCTTCAGGGCTAGCCCCGCGTAGAGCGCATTACAGTAGTCAAGACGGGAGGTCCTGACTTTGGTCCTGCTTTCAACCAAAGATAAGCATGGGGAAACCCAAGTCCACTCACCTTTCTTTTCGTAGACCAGTTTCTCTCCGCTCCGGCCCGAGCTGTCCAGCGGCACCCCGGTTTGACTCCCGAATTCGCCGTCTCGGTAGCCGAGCTCCGGATGCAGAGGGTTCTCCTCCTCCTCGTAGTCGTAGTCATCCAAAATGGGGGTCTCCCGGATGGGCATGCCGATGACCGAGGTGTGACCTTGAAGGCGTGAACTCCGGAAACTCTCCCTGCCCTGGGAGCCAATCAGTACAGAGGGGATGTAGTGGATCTCGTGGGTGGCCTCAGAACTGGCGCTCTTGTGGGGCACCCGGCACTGTTTGTACCAGCGCCGCTGGGCGTACAGGGCGATGGTGAAGACCAGCAGCAGCAGAAGGAGAGCAATCAGCCCACCCTAAAAAAAAAGAACAAACATGGAAAAAAAGGACGTCAATAGCATCAGCTCTATTGATTCTCAACCCCCAAACAGGAGTGGTCGGAAATGTCTTCGGAGATTCTCAGTCGTCCAGGTCCTAGTTATCCCCAAGCTGCTTTTTTTCACGAGGCAACTGGACTTCTTTGTTTTTTTTCCCCTTTGGAGACGTTTCGCTTCTCATCCCAGAAGCTTCTTCAGCTCTGAAGAAGAATCTGAAGAAGCTTCTGGGATGAGAAGCGAAAGGTCTTCAAAGAAAAACAAGGAAGTCCAGTTGCTTCCTGAGAAAGCACCTTTGGGAGTGGCTGGAAAGCATCTCTCCTGTAAAGCAATGCACCATTTTTTTTCCTATATCAGAAACAGATCCTTCGATTCAGTATTCTAGTATTTGAGGGGCCGCCACAAAGAAGAGGGGGGGTCAACTTATTTTCTAAAGCACCAGAAGACAAGACAAGAAACAATGGATGGAAACTAATCTTCTATTCTATTCTATTCTATTCTATTCTATTCTATTCTATTCTATTCTATTATCTATTATTCTATTCTATTCATCTATTATCTATTATTCTACTCTATTATCTATTATTCTATTCTATTCTATTCATCTATTATCTATTATTCTATTCTATTCTATTCTATTCTATTCTATTCTATTCTATTCTATTCTATTCTATTCTATTCTCCTACTCTATTATCTATTATTCTATTCTATTCTATTCTATTCTATTCTATTCTATTCATCTATTATCTATTATTATATTCTATTTTATTCTGTTCTGTTCTATTCTATTATCTATTATTCTATTCTATTCTATTTTATTCTATTTTATTCTATTAATCTATTATCTATTATTCTATTCTATTACCTATTATTCTATTCTATTCTATTCTATTCTATTCTATTCTATTCTATTCTATTCATCTATCTATTATTCTATTCTATTCTATTCTATTCTATTCTATTCTATTCTATTCTATTATGTATTATTCTATGCTATTCTATTCTATTCTGTTCTATTCTATTCTATTCTATTCTATTCTATTCTATTCATCTATTATTCTATTCTACTCTACTCTACTCTTATTCTATTCCAGATTTTCCTTTAAAAGGATGAGAGTAGGTTTGCCTTAAGAGCTTTGGACTGAATCCAGGACATTTCTGATGCAACGACCCGTCACAAGACCCTCACTTGACAAACCTACCCCGGAAGCTCATAAACAGAAGGACTGACTTCTCCTAAACTCTAATGAAGATGTTACCTAGACTGGTAGTGAAATATTCGGAAACCAACCCACAAGCTCCAAGAACGAATCTCCACCTTGGTCCTACACTCGATCCACAGATATTCGCCACCATTGCAAAGCTATTTTAACCCAAGGACCGTTGGCTCAGCCTAGTGCCTAAGAAATCAGCTTATTTCCCCCCCCCAAAAAAAGAGAAAAGCTATATTTTTTATGTCTCTATTAGGTACTATGCCAACTGTATACACAAAGGGCATCAATTTAATACTAGATAAAGCTCTCCTAAGATACGGAATATGCACAAGAGGGCAGAGTTACAGCTGCTGTGGGAAGCCTTGAAAAGCCTTCAACTTCCTGTGAATAAAAAATAATCAGAGAGGGAAGGGGGGGGGAAGGTCAATTTCCATATAGCTTCATCTTAAAACCAAATTTCATTTGGAAGAAGACAGGGCCGAAATCCTAACAGGATGATATACCTGTCTGACTAAAATATGCAGGTTGCCGTGTTTTACAAAGTCATTATTTGAAAGATTGGAAGGCAGGGTTTGCAAAACAGGCTCCCGGTTGTGAAAGTTACAGAGAAGTGGGGGAATGAAGGAGGAAAGTAGGAGAAAACAGCTTTCTATTTTTGGGGGGAGTAAAACTAAGCTGTGCAGAGACCTGTTCAAGGTTCTAGAACTGAGCGTCTTTGTGACTTATGAACAAGTTGCTGACAACTGTAAGAAAATACATTCATCCTTTATGGAAACCTTTGGCTACAAATAACTGTTCATCTACAGGTACATGAGATGTCTCTATTCCTTTTCTTCTCCTCCTCCTTCCCCTTCTCTCTTTTCTTCTTTTTCTCCTTTTCTCTTTCCCTTTCTAATTCTCTTTCTTTCTTTCCCTCTCTCTCTTCTCTCTCTTCTCCCTCTTTCCTCTTTTGTCTCTCTCTCTTTCCTCTGTCTTCCTCCCCTCTCTCTTTCTCTTTTCTCTTTCTTTCTTTCTCTTCCCGCTCCATTTCTCTTTCCTTCCTCTCCTTCCTCTTTCCGCTCTCCCTTTCTTCTCTCTTTCTCTATTTCCTCTCTCTTTCTTTCTCTTTCCTCTGTCTTTCTCTTTCCTCTCCCTCTCTCTCTCTCTTTCCTCTCTCTCTCTCTCTTCCTTGCTCGTTGGATTTAAATAAAATTAAAAGTAAAGGGAATTATACATACATACATACATACATACATACATACATACATACATACATACATACATACATGCATATATATATAAGATGAGGTAAACCAGGCAATCAGTTCACCAAGATTTGCCTTAAGAAAGCTCCCTGAATGCTTTTTTTAAATGAATTCTCATCCGCTTTGCTAAGAGAGTAAAAACAGCAAAGGAACAGAATTTTGGTCAATTTGATCAAGTTAAGAAAAAATCAGACTGAACAATTTGTGGTCATTTGGGTCAAATTAAGAATGGAATAGGTGGATTTAGTGACAAGGGGTCAAAGCATGACTGTCTTAACTTTTGGTTTACAAAGGCTTTTTTTCCACTATCTTTTACTTCCAGTAGCAGAGAAGACAAGCTATATACTACTAGCTGTCCATTGTTTAATGGGCAGTCCTACCATTGAGAAACATTTTGAAGAGTTTTCCCAAAGTTTGTTTTTTTTTTCCAAAGGGCAACTGGACTTTCTTGATTTTTTTCTTTCTTTCTTGAATAGGTTTCACTTCTCGTTCAAGAAGCCACTTCGGTTCAGAAGGTTGAGAAGCAAAACTGTTTTCAAGGAAAAATAAGACAAAGGAAGTCCAGTTGCCTTTTGGAAAAGCATCAGTTTGACACCCATGACCTGGAGGATTGAAAATCTCCATAGATATTTTGAGTTTCTTTTCCTGGAGATATTATATCATGCACCCTCTATTTCTTCCCACACATTTGATGGGAAAGTTCTGATGGAAAGTTCTGGGGGGGGGGGGAATCTTCAGTATAATCTTTTTTTTTTCTTTTGGGAGAAGATCATGGATCTGGTCCTATCCTGAAAAAAAAATGCAAAGGGTTTTTGGAGACTGGATTGTGCTCCACTGACTTATTCAGTCTAGATGTCTAATCTAGATGTCTAATCAACCCTCATCGTTCAGGGTTGTCCCAAAGGTGCTTCTTTCAAGAAGGAACTAGACTTTCTTTAAGTTTTTTCCCCTTGAAGACATTTTGCTTCTCATTCCAAAAAAAAACCCTCTTCAGTTCTTTGTTCAGTCTAGATTAGGCAGTGAAATTGTGTTGGAGGAAAGAAAAAAAAAAAAAAAAGGTCTCAAAGCCAGCAGAATTTCAACAAAGGTGTCTTCACCTATCTCGGAATAACCGCAAAGCTTCATGAAAACCCCGAGCTATGCAGAAGATGAAAATAAACGTGGGGAAAAAAAGCCCCTTGAACGGTGATCCTCCCTCAACGGCGGGGAATCTGATTAACCCAAGACACAAGGAGAGTCACGGCAATTGCGTACCCCAGCCACTTCTTCATCTGAAGGAGCGGAAGGCAGCTCTCGCGGCAATGAATACTGCTTAACCTAAATTTCCAAAAGGTTACACGACATTGTAGCAGCAGTAGCAGCCTTTGTGCTCTCCGGGAAAGCTGTCACAGAGGCCCCCCAAAGCCTTGACAACGTGTAGACCAGGTTCTTGCACACCAAGCTCAACTCTGAAGTTCAAGGACGTCTGAAAGTTGTCCCTCCTTCCCTCCTTTTTCCTTCCTTCCCTCCTTCCTCCCTTTCATTTCCATCTCCTCCCTCCCTCTCATTTTCATTTCCTTCCTTCCTTCCTCCCTCCCTTCCACTCTCCCTTCCTTCCTCCCTCCCTTCCCTTTCACCCTTCCTTCTTTCATTCCTTCCTTCCATCCCTCCTTCCTTTCTTCCATTCCTCCCTCTCATTTCCATCTCCTCCCTCCCTCCCTTCTTTCCACCCTTCCTTCCTTCCTCCATCTCACCCTTCCTTCTCTCCCTTTCTCCCTCCCTCCCTTTCTCCCTCCCTCCCTCCCTTCCTTCCTACTCTTCTTCCTTCTCCCATTCCTCCTTCCCTCCATCCCTCCCTTTCATTTTCATCTCCTCCCTCCCTCTCATTTTCATTTCATTCCTTCCTCCCTCCCTCCCTCCCTTCCCTTTCACCCTTCCTTCTTTT